ATATATATATATATATATATATATATATATATATATATATATATTGTGGTGTTTTCACAACCTATTTCATATGAAAACATATATTGCTTACAACAAGTGCTGTTTCAAAAACCCCTATCGTTCCAATACATATATTGTTCACAAAAACTGGTATTTATATATATATTGTTTTGAAAAATGTACATATATATTCTTATTAAGCATATATGTTTTGCAATTGTATGTTTTTACTATAAATAATATTGTTTTGAAAAGTATATATATATATATATATATATTCTTGTTAAAAATATTTGTTTTACAATTGTATGTATTTGAAATATATATATCGTTTTTTTGACAGTGTTCCTGCTTCGTATTTTTAGACGTTATTATTGCGCTATTTTTTTAAGACGGTCTAGATACGACACCTCGCAAACTTTAACAAAACGTGTGCATAATGCAGAGTTTGACTAGGAAAGTCGTTGCCTTTCAGAAACAAATTAAAATTATGATGCCATGAATGTATAAAAAGGTGAAATCTCACTAGAGAACTTGTGAAATTTATCTTTTAAAGCTAAATCACTGAGCTAGTCATTAAACGTTACTTAGAAAAAAAATCAATCATAGCTGTCATTGTTGTATTGTATATTTTAACCTTGAAAATTGGTATCTTAGTATAACTTTGGCTTACATAACAAACCGTAAATCCGGGTCCTTTTTCTGCTGTAAAGTGTAGCTTTGAAAATTTCTTTTTCCCAGTTCAGGCACAGTACCACCAAAAGAAATAGCGCTACAAGAAACATTCGGGTGAAAGTAAGCCATTTCATGATCAGTCCCTTAAAGCTCGTCTGAAAAAAAAAACACAAAGCAAAACTTTTTAGTATGTTGCATATGCTTCATATCCATTTTCATATGACTGTTAAACATGAACATCCACCACAATTATGCAAATGCACATAACGTGCACTACCAATCGGGGCTAAACAATATACTCAATTTATGTTTATGTTACTACCAAAGAACTGAGAAAGTTTCTATCTAACAAATAAGGTTTATAAGTTGTCTAGGTCTTCAAGTTTTATTTGTGCCTAAAATCAATTTTATCCGTGGAAGGGGCAACAACTTACTTTTTGTTTCACATTCTAACTTGTCAAAACATGATAACTAATTACACTAACAAAAAATGCATTCGTACTAATTTACAGGTGTTTCTTGTAGATGCTTGCAGACAAGTAAATGAATACAGATTGTTTTTTGAAGCTCCAAACAGCAATATACGGTCACACAACACACCATGGACTAACATGTAACAGATTGACGTAACCGGCAAGTTTATTCTTTCATTATAACGACGCTTTAAACATCACGGGTTTTAGGCTTGTAAAATATGTCTTTTCTTAAATTCAAATTTTTGTAAGTCATATAATTGTAATTTGTAAGCCTTAAATTCTTTGGTCAATAGGTTTGAGACGGTACGGTTTAGGGCTGTCTAGACGACATATTTGTCCACATGTTCCACTGAGGTTTTCAGTTTCTTAATGCTGTACACTCTATAGCATTATATTTAAAAAAAAATACCAGCCCTACAGTGCCACTGTCACAAATTTTTAGTACTTGAGTTTTTAATTTTCATGAAAATGGCCTAAAGTAGGGTAACTAAACTTGGTATTGTCTGTTGTAAAAAAAAAAGTAATAGAAACAATAGGCCTAAAAACGTGAGTGGATCTCCAAAATTGTCGACATTACGCAACTCAAGTCTTTAGACAGTACATAATATTCTGCTGGCATTAGACTAAATAGAAGGTTGATTTAAAAATCGAACTGTTAAAACAAGACACATTCATCACAACCAAGTCAATTTTCCATAAAACCTATCTAGGTGAGGGGGGTGTAGGAAATGCAAACCGACAACATTATGCAGGGGTATAAAGTATTTGTGTAAAGTTACCAATCTAGGATTTGTATATAAAAAATAGGAACAGTTTGTTGTGTGGTTTGTGTACGTTTGAGTAGAGTTAGCGCTGCGGCGTGCACGGGAACGTCGATACTATAGCGGTACACGTCGGGGTGGCAGGGGGCGTCACGTGCGCTCACATACGCCGGGCAGTTTCTGTTGTAAAATCTTCGTACAGTTTGTACCGATCTTGGCTTCCGATACATTGAACCATACATCGTAGTAAAAGCTGGAAAAACACTGTAAGCCGAGTTATGAGACTTTGGACTGCCGTTTCCCAGCACTCCGGCCCTTTTCAGGGCTACAAATCACGCACTCCTAAAGGGGCTATATATAACAACCACACAACAAAAAAAGTTATAACATTACCTTTTGTTGTCGGAAATAAAGTTGTTTGTGATCACTTATAGAGTAAATTCCGCGTCACCGTGTGGGTTGTTCTTGTTATTTTAGTAATTTCCAAATATCAACATTATAAAATAAATTTC